CACAGTGGTGAACTATTTTAATTTTTTAAAAAATAGAGCAAATGATAAATTACAAACTGATGAATAAATAGTCTATTATCTAAGATGACAAACACTGGAAGCAAAACAGGCTAATTGTGGAGCCAGGGATGGTTCAGTGAACAAAAATGCTACCGCACAGGTCGGATGACTCTGAGTTTGATTCCCAGAACCCACATAGCCAGATGCAGTGGTGGGCCTCAGTAATCTCAACACTCCTATAGCGACATAGGAGGTGGAGAGAGGAGAAAGAGCTAGAGTCTCAACAGTCAGCTACTGTGTGGCATAGCAGCAGAAACAGTAAGAAATGTTTCAAAACCTGGGAGAAGAGACAACTCTTGAAAATAATGTTTTCTGGGTTCTATGTGTTTCCCTCTCTCTGTCTCCATCATTCACTACATCAAACAAATTAAGAGAAAATCAGGTCAAGTGTGAAGTTTCATTTTTTAATGAGAATTTATGTGTTCAGAAGTCATGTTGTAATTCACAAAAAAAAAATGTTGAATTTAGGGGTCAGGTCCAGTCACCAGTTCTTAATATGCCCATAAAAAGAGCCAAGTTAATAGTAGAAACCAGAGAAAGGAGATTTATTCAAAGTGGCCACATTGAGAAGAGGTACAAAGAGACCCAGAGAACCCCTCAAGCCTATCAGAGGTTCTGAAGTGAGACCAGAGTGTAAGCATATCTAAGTAGTCCTGGTCAAGGTGTGGTCCCAATCACCATTGACTCGCCATTTTCTGGGTTTCCATTTCATCCTGTGAGATTGTCTGACAAGTTGTTAGAGCTGCCTGCGGGTCTCTGCAGGAGAGAAGTTCCCCTTTCCTTCTCCAAGCATGGGATTCCTGGGGGGGGGGAGATTTTCATTTCTTTGGGGTTCATAGTTTCCAAAGTCTGATAGTCAGTTTGAGAGACACGGGTGTCTCCGTGGAACATGCTCACTTCCTTTACTGGGGAAGCCATGGAGAAAGTACTGCTCATATACATGTGTGGGAAAACAGCGTCAAATGTTCTGGTAACCAAATGCACACATTTTATGACTTAATAATGTATATCCAGGAACAGTTACTAAAGATAATAAAATATGCATAAAAGTTACAAAGATGAAGATTTTTAGGGCTGTGAAACCCCTCTGTATGTCACAATCATGGTAGAAATAGCCTGGGTGCATTTGTTCAAATCTGTCAATACAGAACAGCAAGAGATGACCCAATGCAAACTAGTGATTGTGAAAAAGTCAAGCATAGGTTTATCAATTATAATTGTTGGGGCTTAGAAAAGATGCCCCCCCCCATATGCTGCTTTGGATGTAGATCAAAAATTTCAGAGAAGGTTTTCCTAAAAGTTCCTTCATCTACCCAAATAACAGATCCATCAGCAAACATATGGCCTTCAAAGTCTGTAGTCTCAAGGAAGACCCAAACTATGTCACCGAAGGAACAGTGAGCACCAATACTACACCCATAGTCCAGAGGAATATTGCCCTGACTGTTGTCTGTGCTATAGATCATTCTCCATCCCCAATCAGTTACTCCCATTCAGCCTCCTACTTCTTTCTTTATTACAAAGATAAAGTAGCCCCAGTCATCTAGGCTGTCTGCAAGTTTTATGTTTTATATGACTTTCATATTTGTGTTCATGGTAATAAGTGGGCAAGTGTTGTCTCTCGCATATACTGCCAATTTGTTTCAGAAGCTGCAACCACAAAACCCGTGAGGAAGGTCTGGTCTTCTCTACAATACCAGTGGACCACTATGGTGGAGGAGATGGCTAGGATGGAGCCATGCACTGTGAGAGAGCAGTGGATGCATAGCAAACATCTCTACCTTTCATTTCTTTGCCGCAAATCTAAAACTGTTTGAAAAGTCTACTACAGGCGGTATAGTTTCACAGTCTACCCTGCACTACACTGCCTTCTCTAGCAAACAAAAGGAAACAAATGCTTAACAGCTGAATTAACAAGGACTGCGGTGAGTAAGAAAGGCAGGCAGAGATGGGCAAGGAGCCTGGCAACTGCGTGACGTACGGATGAGTACAGGGTTAGAAGGACCAATGAATTCCAATAGAACAGGTCTAAAGGGAGAGCTAGCCACCATCAGCTCAGTGTGGCCGTCCTCAGCGTTCTTACTAGCCAGAAGTGCTTTACTGATGAGTGAGTGGCCCATGAGGTGACCTCCCTGAGTTAAGCTGCTTTGAACAATCTCAGTAAATAAAGCAAAGGCACACTTCCTAAAACCCAACTGTGATTATGACCACTCATACAACAGATACTTTGAAAGACTCCTACACAATCTGGGCGAGGACCAAGACGTGGTAGAAAAAGATGGCGCTACTAAATGAGACAAAGCTCAGTAGAGGAATGATATGTGTGATGGCCAAAACAGGAAGGCTCAAAAGCTCAAAGAACAAACCTGAGGGTGTAGTTTATGGTGCTGGAAGAGAAGACCCCAGGTCCTCAGGTCTGCAAAGAAAAAGTTACTGCATGTAGCTGGGTGACTGTAGGATCATCACATTATGCCAGAAACAGGAAAAAGTCAGCTGGAAGGGATGCTGTTAGGAAGCAAGAGCTAAAGGTATTCCTGAGGAAGTTACACAGACCAAGTCTTAGGCTGGGGCCTGGCTGTGGACATGATCTGTCTCACAGGGGATCCTCAAGCAGCAATAATGTGCAAATTCTCAGTTCTGAAGAAGTTTGCAGGATACCACTACCTTTCCTTTCCTCCCTCCCCTCCACCTTTAACCCTGTACATGTTTGTGCTTCTTTCAAACTTGCTCTTCAGTAACATACTCCAATTCTAGTAACATACTCCAATTCTAGTGACATACTCCAATTCTAGTGACATACTCCAATTCTAGTGACATACTCCAATTCTAGTGACATACTCCAATTCTAGTAACATACTCCAATTTTCAAACTGTGGTGACCTGAGACGGGATGGGTGGAGTTGGGCAGGAAATGTTCAGAGTTTACTACGTTAAAAAGAAGTGAGAAGCAGCTGGGCGATGGTGGCACATGCCTTTAATCCCAGCACTAGGGAGGCAGAGGCAGGCGGATCTCTGTGAGTTCAAGGCCAGCCTGGGCTACAAAAACTAGTTCCAGGACAGGCTCCAGAGAAATCCTGTCTCGAAAAAACAAAAAAAAGGTACTATATGTACCTGTGTTAACTATAGAACAGTTCAACAGACACTTGAAAATATTACAAGATTTTGAATGCTTTCATTATAAAGAAATGATCAACTTTTGAAGACCCAGAAATATTTGATCTGATTTAAATATTGTACAATGAATATATGAACCAAAACATGACATGGTATCCCACTGATATATAAAGTTATATTTTTTATGTATGTTCAAAACTAAATTAGATTGAAACCTGGCACGGTGTCACGTGTCTTCAATGCCAGCACTAGAAGCAGAGGTAAGAGGATCTCACTGAGTCTGAGGCTAGCCCGGCCTAAACAGTGAGTTCCAGGCCAGCCAGAGATACTTAGTGAGATCTGTTTCTAATAAATAAACACAGAAACAAACAAAATAAGAAAGTTCTTAGAAGATATCCTGGGGCGGGCATATGGCTCAAGGGGCAAGGCCCTCGCTGCCAAGCCTGACAGCCTATGTTTGACCCTCAGAACCCACACTGTGAGAGGAGAGAATCGACTCCCTCAGATTTCCTCTGACCTCAACACATGTGCTATGCCCTCCGCTCCCACACAAAACAAATAAAGGTTTTAAAAAAAAAAAAAAGACATTTTGGAAATGCTGTTTGAAGAATCCTTTTTGAAAGAATCATATAAAAACACAAAACTTAATCTTTAAACAAGCTTCAGAGTGATTTCATTGTCTTCAATGAGAGCCAAGAGGGAAGCAGTATGGTATCAGAATAGACTGAAGAGAAAACACCAATTAGAGTGCTGGACAATTAGGCCATGGTGTATGCTCTACGCACAATGGCCACTCTCAGAGGCATCCACAGAGAAATGCATTTTGCATTCAAACAGCACCCTTTACACTTGTCTGAAACCTGACACTTTTACCTCTAGCACTTGCTATCCCTGTCTCACGATTACTTCATGGCAGCTTAGCAAGGAGACTTTGAGGGGGGCATTAGATTAGCAGTGTATTACACAGAAGAGATAACCGACACTGTTAGACACTCCTACAGTTTTCTTCTATTCCCTCTGCACAGCGTGAAACCAGCAATACTAAATGTTATACTGAAACAGGGGAAAGTACGACATGGCACTTTCTCAGTGAGCATCAAGCACCCTGGTAAACGAGGACCTTGGTAGAATTTAGCCCTGGCTTTGCTGTCAGCCAATGGCGTGACTCTGGAATAGGGTGATTGAAGGCACTGAGCTTCAGTTTCCTTCATGCCCAAATGGGAACATACCTGCCCCTTCTTTCCACTGGATACATCCGGAAAATCAGGTAAACAAGATCAAAGCCAAGAAAAAATTTTCAGGAACAATAAAGTGTTATAAAGTCATAAAATGTAGTATGAAAGTCAGGGAAATGACACATTATTATTGAAAACTGAGTATCCATTTTGCAGAGTTGTATTAAATGCTATTGTGGTTGTATAAACTCTGACTAGATTACTGTGGCAGAATTGTTAAGTATCTCATTTTTCTTACACAGAAAATTAATTTTTCCTCAGTCATCACATCCTTACATGTAGCATCAAAGTTTTTTTCAGGAAACATGTCAGAAGTAGGAAAGCCAGACAACACTGGACAAAGAAGAGATATATTGTAAAATCAATCATGAGAAGTGTCTTCTCATTCCAGGCTCTACTGCAATTCCATCATGGCAGCCTCCAATCCTGGGGACTCAAGACAGTGGGGCTCTATATTCTCTGAGTCCTTCATTAAACTATTGATCTCTTACACATTATCCATAATGCTCCAGCAGCTCAGTCCATCACCTGGTGAAGCGCTGGTCTCTCGCTCCCTTCAATAACTTTAGGAAGTCACAATGATTTATTTACCTGACATTTTCCAGTCCGGATGTCATACAGGGCCACTGAGCCATGGCGTGCTCCAACGGCAATTCTGTGACTCCGTTCATAATAGCTGACCATATAGAACCTGAATGGAACATTTTCACAACAACAACAAAAACAAAAGCCAGGTGAGATTGCCTGCATATGGAAGACAGAAACTAATACACTCAAAGATTAATACATATGCATGTATATGTATATAAAAGCCTTTATTTCTTTATTATTTCTAAATAAATGTCTGTAATCAACATATGGAGATTTTATAAATATGTTTCCCTTTAGTACTGAGTACTTTTGAAAAATCAAGTAAGACAGAACTGACGGAGACCACCAGCCTGTTGATGAATTGTCGGCCAGCTCTAGCGGCTCACTCTATAAATCCAGCACTTGGAAGGCTGAGGCAAGAGGGCTGAGGTGAGTTCAGGTTGGTGTAGGCTACAGTGTAAATTCCAGTCCAGCCCAGCAAGGACTACAGAGTAAGACCATGTCTTTAAAAATTATTTTATTTATTTATTTATTTATTTATTTATTAAAGATTTCTGTCTCTTCCCCGCCACCACCTCCCATTTCCCTCCCCCTCCCCCAATAAAGTCCCCCTCCCTCGTCAGCCCAAAGAGCAATCAGGGTTCCCTGCCCTGTGGGAAGTCCAAGGATCACCCATCTCCATCCAGGTCTAGTAAGGTGAGCATCCAAACTGCCTAGGCTCCCACAAAGCCAGTACGTGCAGTAGAATCAAAAACCCATTGCCATTGTTCTTGAGTTCTCAGTAGTCCTCATTGTCTGCTATGTTCAGCGAGTCCGGTTTTATCCCAGGCTTTTTCAGACCCAGGCCAGCTGGCCTTGGTGAGTTCCCGATAGAACATCCCCATTGTCTTTTGACAACAAATAATTTTATAATCATAAATACACTTGGCAATAATTATTTTTGTTAGCAAACATTTATAATCATAAGTATACTTGAGAGTTTGAGGCATGAAGGGATAAAGGCGAAAAACTAAATGTGAAAATCCAGTTTTTTTTTTTTTTTAATTTTTTTTTTGGATTTTCGAGACAGGGTTTCTCCGTAGCTTTTTGGTGCCTATCCTGGAACTAGCTCTTGTAGACCAGGCTGGCCTCGAACTCACAGAGATCCGCCTGCCTCTGCCTCCCGAGTGCTGGGATTAAAGGCATGTGCCACCACCGCCCGGCTGAAAATCCAGTTTTATAACATGTGTACACATTTCTATTTGAGCAGAAGAGAGAAAGGGTTTGAAAGACTCACATATCCAATTTAATTATCCTCCTATGGCTTGTTACCAAACTAATGAATATACATTATCACAGAATATAAAAATCTACATGATGGCAAGTCTCCTGAATTCTCATCATTAATTTAAAATCACCTTAGAATGCTATTTACTAGAAAAAAAATCATGAAAATTTGTGAAATCTTGTACACTTCCCAGATTTACTAACTTGGTTAGCTAACCACGGTGATGGCAATATGAATAAGCACATTTGTTATTTTTGTTCCATTGAATAAAAGAATTCTAGGGTAGATGGTATGAAGGCTGGAAGATGTTGACTTGTTTTCATTACTTTCTAGGTTAGTTTTCAGGAGTGGACTAAGTATTTGAATTTCTGGCATACTGATTTCCAGTCCATATGGCTGGATCTACAGGCGAGGATAGTATTGTAAGGGTAAATCGGGTATGATTTCTATAGTCACAAAAACTTTTAAGTAGACTTTCTATTTCACATGGTCTCAGTGAGTTGTCCAGGAGATGAGGGCTACACTAAATATTCTATTTGAAAACATTTTTTCTCAATCATATTATTTGCTGTGTCCTTCTCTGTGTCCATAAACTTTCTGTGTTGTTTAGTTTTATATCAACTAGGGTCATTTTGGAAGCACTCTCAGCTGAGAAGATGCTTCCATAAGAATGGCCTGTAGGCAAGCCTATAGAGCATTTTCTTGATTACTGAATGATACAGAAGGAGCCTGTGGTCCGGAGTCAAAGAAGAAAGCAGGCTGAGAAAGCCAGGGAACCTTTCTAATGTAAAGTCAAATGCAATAAACCTTCTGGTGCTGCTTAGTTGTCACCAGCTGTATAAAACTGGCGTCACCTGGGAAAGGAGAGTCTCAACTGAGGAACTGCCCCCATTGGCTTGCCCTTTGAGCTATGTTCTCGATTGATAACTGATACGGGAGGGACCAGCTCACTGCAGGTGGTGCCACCCTAGGCAGGTGGTCCCAGGTTGTACAAGAAAGCAGACTGAGTAAGCAGCATCCTTTCCTCAGATGTCTGCCTTGACTTCCCTGGATGATAGAGCACAAGCTGGAAGACGAAACAAACCCTTCCCTCACCACGTTGTTTATGGTCAGGGTTTTATCACACCACAGAAACCTTAAGGCAATTTTTACTTTTTCAAGGGAGAGAAATTGGGAAGAAAAGTTTCTATGTATTTTTGAGGTAAGATACAGAACAATTGTGTAATTCTAAGAAGAGAGGCTGAGAGAGACAAATATGAATGCTATCAGCAGGGGTTTTGAGGAAGGAAGGCCAGGGCCTCATTTTCAGTATTATGGAAGGTAGACACTACTTGGTCATAGTGTTCATGGAAAGTAGCTTATTATTCTACTTCAATAAACAATAGGAATCTATATTCAAAATCTAATGTTCTTCTAATTGAAAATTAATATGCTTTAGAAGAGTTTTTAAACAGTTGCTGTTTTGCTATTAGTAACTATAGCTGTCTGAGTACTGGGTGTCATTGTATCTACATCTGTATTAATATCGATATCCATCTCTGCACACATATGCCCATGTCTAATTTATATCTCCTTATAGTAACATGAACCTTAGTATCTCACATGTTATAACAAACATTTATTCTTTGGAGTTAATGACTATAGAAAATTAAAGTTTACAGTGATATTTTATCAATTATTTGCAAAAATTTAATAGCTACACTGCCAAAATTCTACTGCAAAACAATATTATCACCTTTGAAATAAATTTTTTCAAAACCAAACATATTGGGATGACAGAATCTTAAACTAAAGGTTTTGCTACATTACCTAATCTTTATGCTTTGGATATCAACCCCATCCTTCTATATCATCTACAAACACCATTATTTATGCGATAGAAAGATTAAATCTATTCTTGGAATCAAGTCTTTGGTCTGCTTGAAAGCACCTATATTACAGCTCTAGCGTTTTTCACTCTCTGTAATTTACTACTTGACTGACATGTCTAAAACACACTTTAAAGATTTCTGGGCAGTGACAGTCTCATGGCCTGGTTTTTGGCTCAGAGTTTTGTATTAAAATTTCCTTCCTGGTTCTTAAAAGAGTAATAAAAATCTTATATATGTCAGTCTGCTGCTGCAGGAAGATACCAACTGCTGAGGCCTTTGGGGTCCCCCAAACTCTAGACTGCTTTCTTTGGGAAGCAATTCTGCATGTGAGCACTGTCAGTCCCAGGGATGGAGAGATATGTATTTTCTGTCCCCACCTCTGATGATATCAAGGGGTTGAGGCAGAAGTCCATTATAGTTTTTAATATTGTTCTTGCCTTCATCCATCCTCAGAGAAGTCACAAGTTTTTCTAGAACTGGCATCTGAGTTTTCAGGTCACTGTGATGGTACCAAGACACTGAGATGGCAATTAGTAATCTGGCAAGAACGATTTTGTTAAGTATTCTAAGGTACTAGTTTCATTTGTGATTTACCCTGGCTAAAACCAACTTAGAGGAGAAAGAGTTCACTGTCGCCCACAGTTCCAAGTCACAGTCCATCACAATCTGGAAGTCAGGTGGCAGCAACTTCAAAGAGCTAGCTACAAAAATTCACAGTTAGAGCAGAGAGAGATGAATAAATGCATGGTTATTGTTCAGCTCCCTTTCTCCACTCTTACACCGGCTGGTGACCAAGTCTAGGGAATGATGTCATCCATAGTTAAACCCGGTCTTCCATTGGTTACTGTGATCAAGACAATCCCACATAGCCACGCCACAGTAAACATGTTCGAGATGATTCCTCACTGAGATTCTCTTCCATGGTGACTCTATACTGTGTCAAGTTGACAGAAGTACCACATCAAGTTATCCTAGTATTTATCACCTACCAGATGGGCTCAAAGGAAACTGCCCAATCAGAGCCATAATTAGCAAGGGAACGGATCTGGGTATTGATGGAAAAGGCATTTGTTGCTGGGGTAAAGGTGGTATTATCCAAACTGTTTAAAGACGCTGCTCCAGACTTTGGATATAGTCCTCGTGCAGCTTATGATTCTTGTCAACCGTGAATTACATCACACTGCTTTTTGTTCACAGCTGTCCTTCAGAGCCCTGCCCCACTGGGACCTCACCTTGGGTTCCTTTTGCTTATTCTGCTCTAGGAATGGCCATCCCCTTGCACAGACTTGGATATGCTCACAGTGCTCCCTTTCTAAGTCTTACTGCTCCTGGTACCTAGAAAATCTCAATGGCCCATTATCTCAGCTACTCATGCACCTACTTCACTAAGGCCCCAATCCGAGGTTATCTTGAGAAAATTATCTCCATGAACCACAGTGTTTGATACAGCTACCCTTCCCTATTGCTCTTTAATCCAACATCCTATCTTAAAACTTTATCAAGCATGCAAGATGCAATAGTAAAAAGTTTAACACGGCTAAGATCCAGACACAATGCTTACCCTCTAATGAACGGCATGTGAACTACATTAAATATTAACTTTTAAGAATTAATGTTCCATGGGGTCTAGAATAACAATTTAAGTAGATATAGTAGAAATAAAAATGTCCTCCAAAAGTCAAGCAGAGATTGAGAATTATGCTTTCTTTCTGCCTAGTGGTCCTATAAAAATTTCATTTTTCATGAGGATAAACAGTGTCAGATTTACAATGTTATCTGCTAAGGCCCTGAGCCAGGGTATCTTAGCAAAACTGACAATTATAGCTTAACCATCTTTTGAGACTAGAAATAATTGCATAGGTTGAAATTTTAAAAGATGAACATAAGTAGTCTAGTTAATGATATGTATAATGAAACGTAGTTTTCATTTTCCACCTTTAGTACAATAGCATCATCCATGAT